AACATTGGGTCTGCCATGTCAAATATTCACAGATTAAAGATAAGCAACTGCGATTTTAAATCTGGATTATCAGAACCTTCAACACATAACTTAAATTCCTATACATCAAATAGACTTTTTTTTTTCACTGGTAACCACAGTGCATATCTACATATAAACTAAAAAAGTTGAGCTGGAATGTGACAACAATGTGGATAAGGATAACTGTTGCAAAATAGCCAGAGCCTGTACATTTTCATTGACTTTTTGATTTTTCTAAATCAATTCATCAATTGTTGAAATAAAATAATACTAATTGTTTGATTTTTTATACGAAGAAACAGTTCTTTTTGTTCATACAAATGTTACTGGTATATCTAACACAAAGTCTGCTGGAATTGTTAAGTTTACAGGTATACAATTTATTTTAGTCTGATCGTGTTGGAAGCTATAAGCTTATAGAAACACTCTCGAATCTGTTCCTGGAACCAACCAATACTAAGCAATAAATGTAACGTTTCTTGCTCAAGGAAACAATGGCTTGCCCCTGACATGCTGAAATTGTCGTCAATCACTCTTACTTTCTAATAATATAATAACTAATAAGAACTTATAAATAACCAAATTCTTCCACATAACAGCTTGTTATTTGAACTTCTGCTTTTGAGTAAGGCCCCCACGATTACACGTTTAAACGGGTTCGTTTCGATTTTCATTCATAAACGTTTACGATATTGTTTACCGTTTAATCGAAATGACCATATTGTCTTACAAAATTTCTTAATCATTGCCTGTAATCATGGATTTTATCAATTCTAGTGGTTTATTCCAAAGTAAACAAACGGAAAATATGTGTTTACAACCCTCCACACAGCATTACGGTGCAAAATTGCTCGTGACATAATACATTTTTGGTAAAAAATGGGGTTACAATGCAAAAAATGTGTGCTGACTCAATCGTGATGAGCCCTGCACATTCTTTATTTGTACATGTATAAAAAATAGAAAGAAAGACATCATTTGGCGACTTAAATACATGGTGTGTATAGTACATAGAGGTACCACCGTTTAAACGGTATCGTTTCGGTTCTTAGCAATCGTGTAAACGTTTACAAAAAATTGTAAACGTGGGAGCCTTACTTTTGAGTCAATACTATATACATGTACATGTATAGCGCTTATGATTTGTCAAATACAATGTATAAAAGTTCTTCTACTTTCAACATCTACAAACTGTGTTTTTATTTCTAAAACGAAATAAAACTGAAATAAAATTTACCTGGTTCAGTTCATCACACTAAGATTGATATACTGATTGATTGATTGATTGATTGATTGATTTAATAAGTCAAGTGTATGTGTGATTTGGTGAATGACAAGAAAGTGTGTGTGAGTGAGCCAGTGTGTGAAAGAGTGAGCCAGTGTGTGAAAGAGTGAGCCAGTGTGTGAAAGAGTGAGCCAGTGTGTGAAAGAGTGAGTAATTGTGTGAAAGAGTGAGCAATTGTGTGTAAGAGTGAGCAAGTGTGTGAAAGAGTGTGTGACTGAGTGATCTTGTGACTGCATCAGTGAGTCAATGATAAACTGTTTTTCAGAAATATAAAAGCTTTAAAAAACTTTTGGAATGAGCAATATACAAATTTACGTTCAGTTCAAACATCCCGTTAAAACATGACATTGCCCAGACGAGTAATTTATTTCATATTTGAAACACCAAGAACAACTCTCACTCAGCAAATAATATATTTCATCTGATTTAAAAATTATGCCAGACAATTTGAATCATTTCAGAGACCACAGAATGATAATACTTAACTTTACTAAAAAAATTATCACAATATTTTACCTTCTTTAGACCTAAATATGAAGGTTATTGATAACATAGCATATCTAACACTAAATGAAACACCTAATTATCTGAATTTTGATAGTGGCAAGGCGTTCTGATAAAAACTCCATTAGCTAATGTTAAACAAACAATCCGACTTCTTGAAGACTTTATCTGATCAGGATAATTGATAACTTCCAGAATATTATCATCGTCAACATCAATATAATATCTCTAATATAACATCGGCACTTTTAATGTAAAGATAATAACCACTTGAAAACTAATGCTCATTAAAACCTTATCAATGTAAGAAAACAAAGAAGATTTTATTCGAAGAGTAGAAACAAATTAAAGTTTCTGAGAAATTGTGCGTACCTGATAAATTTCATTTGAATAGACCCTGTGACCTTTACTTACTGTTTGTTCTCATTTTTGGACGCAAGGGATGAAGAAAATAAGGCAGATCATGACCTTTACGAAACGTTTGATCTCATTTTTGGACGCAAGGGATGAGAAAAATAGGACAGATCAACCTGTCAGTACCAGGTAGCCTTTTTCTGACATGAATTCAAGAATATCATACAATATTATGTCATAGTTACCGGACAATAATTCCATATATATTCATAAAGGCAATAAACACCTAGCTGCTCACGTTTCACCACCATATACTTCTTATTTTGTAATACATTACGCAAAACTAACTTCCTTTTTTTAACTACATGTACCGTATATAAAAAACGTAACAGAGATCTTAAACTCAAGTTTAATTTATTTCATGTTACTTATTCAGATATAACCTTGTCATAGATTAGTAAAAATGTCAATAAGTTAACCATCACTGGTGCGATATAAGGAATCTCCAGTTACGCTCGTGCCCAATCAAAACAAACTAATAGGCTACTCTCCTCTCTCTCTCATCCCCAACCCTTTAATATTACTAAAAATGTAATACGAACATTTTTGAATGGCATAAAAATGACAACAGACTAACTTAACAAGGTTCAGAAAGGTGCCCCCACTATTTTGTTACTATATATAGTAACAAACATAAGAAAATATGTTCTTATTCATCTACATGCGTTTGCGACCAGCATGGATCAAGACCAGCCTGTGCATCCGCGAAATCTGATCAGGATCCATGCTGTTCGCTATCAGTTTCTCTACTTGTTATTGGGTTTGTAAGCAAACAGCATGGATCCTGATCAGACTGCACGGATGTGCAGGCTGGTCTGGATCCATGCTGGTCGCAAACACATTATGTTAGTTTTGTCATGGCGCAGCTCAAATATTGATGATAAATCAATATAACAAATACTCTTCATTTACATTCTACTTGCACACAGACACCTGTTACTCACACATTTTAGTAAAGTACATGTACTGACTGCATAAAATTATAATGTACAGGTATAAAATGGCGTCTGCTGTTTTTTTTTCTTCTGATCATCCCTTTTGTCATCAGTATTACTATAGTTTTACATATGTCCTTTTTCAGAGGGGATGCATTTCTGTTTCAGCTTAAGTGAAACTTTCGTCAATTTCAGTCATATGGTGTTCATATGAGAAAATTAAAGATTAAAATAAATATCCCTTAAGAATTGACCAACAGGAAAAATATCATTATTATCGAACTACTTTCAAAAAAACCCAACAAAACCAACGAAAAAATGCCAGCATTTTATCTGAGGGAGTTAACTTCAATTGACAATTTAGAGTAAACTAAGTATGAGTTATCTATAGTTGAATTTACACTAAACTGAATATAAAGACCACTGGTCACTCCTGAGCAGTTATTAAATTCAGTACAGTATTGCAGCTCAAAACAGTGATCCATATCAATTTCCATGGTGTATATAAAATAAATATTAACACCAATGAATATATAAATATGTTATTCTACAGACTGGGATTGGGTTTATAATTTATACCTGAAATGTTACAAGTCAATCTAGACCATATGTTATTGTTGATATTTCCTACAGAGCTGTCATTTGCATGTTATGACATTTAAGACATAATTTATATATATATATATACATATGACACAAAAATATAGCTCTAAAATAAAGAGGGCATGTAATGATTCTGAGAAAGTCATAAATAGAATAAAGGTTGGTTGGAGCAAAAGTTAACAGTTCAAAATAGAATCCTCAGTAAACAAACAATTTAAAATTCACAAAACTGATGCCCATTCAGTGATTGTAACAGATTCTTGCTACATTCAAAATTGCACAACACTATTGAAGGCAACTGTTATTGTAATTACTGGAGCTTGTAATTGCTCATAATTATTTCAGTGTACCATGTAAAACACGGCAACTAACATCATAGAGACAACATCATGAATGTTGCTTCAAAGAAATCCAATGCTTCATTTAGCTTTAAAAGTAAATAATAACTTCATCACCAGGCAAGACTGTACCTGATGACATTTAGTGTTTTTGATAATATCTCAGTGCCCTCTGATGTTCTGAAATAAAATTTTTATGTCAACTTCTGATACAAAATTTTATTAAATGGATATACAGTACAACCTCTGCAAAACAGCAACCTTTTGGGAAGCAAAGATTTTGGTTGTTGTAGAGAGGGGTTGGTCTACAGAGGTTAAATTCAGTGTTTAATCTTAGCGTGGGAAGATTTGATTCTGTTGCTATAAAGAGGTTCTTTCTCTACAGAGGGCCTGCTACAGAATCATGTGTTGTTGCAATTATAATCAAACCTTTGATAAAGACCATGCTTTTATTCAAAGCAAACATTTCTACATTTATGAAGAATATTCAACAAATATAGCAAACATTCAACATTTTAAGAGAAAATTTCAAAATATATACAGACTGAATAGGGGACAGTGCAGACCATGATCAAACAGCACAGATGTGTCACCTGATCTTGGTCTGCACTGGTTGTCCTCAACAGGCTAAGGGGTAATCATTAAAGGCAAAGTTCAAAAATGAAGGAACTTTCATGAACATGTCTAAACTAAGATTTTTTAACTTTACCAGCTGTATTTTACAACACATCAACACAAACTGGTCATATACTGCTAAATTGAACTAAGGTCTCTAACAATTGAGTCCAAGGTTACAAAGAAATTTTCTAAGCTCAAACTCAGATCTACCATATTTAATTGATCAGAAACCAGCTCAGGATGTACACTGACCAATGAAAATCAAGAGATTTGAGACTGAACTCATGAAAATGTCTTGAAACCTTGAGGACTGGTGTCATTTATTGTCCACCTACCTTCACATGATATCACAGGTATGTTAAACCTTTTTATCATCCTCAGCAATTGTTCTCGAATCTCTGTAGCACGCACCAGGCCTTTAAAATTTAGTAAGTTCTCATGACACCATTTTGCTGATTTATCATACTGCAATGGGAAATATATGAATATTTATATGTTGATGTTTAAAGTCACAACCATACTGTTACAGACATATGGTGACTGTTAGCTGTTAGGAGAGCAGAATAATAAAATATGATCTATTGTGCAATATTCAGTATATTTACTACAGTGGGTATCTTTCTAAAGAAGAAGGCACTTGTGAAGAAGCTAATAAACACAGGCACCTTGATAGGAGCTAGTAGTAGCAGTTAAATTGTAGCAGGGTAGTAAAAGGCATATTGGTAGAAGTTGTTTGAACTAGGCACCAGGGTAGAAGCTGCAGAACCAGGCACAAGGGTAGAAGCTACTAGAACCTATGCAGAAACAGGGACCTGGGAAGAACTGGTAGCATCAGGAACCAAGATAAAAGCTGGTAGAAGCAGGCACCAGGGTAGAATCTGGTAGAAGCATGCACTACGGTAGAATCTGGTAGAAGCAGGCACCAGGGTAGAATCTGGTAGAAGCAACACTACGGTAGAAGCTGGTAGAAACAGGCACCAGGGTAGAATCTGGTAGAAGCACTCACTACCGTAGAAGCTGGTAGAAGCAGACACCAGTGTAGTAACAGGTAGAAGCATGCACGAAGGTAGAAGCTGGTAGAAGCAGACACCAGTGTAGTAACAGGTAGAAGCATGCACGAAGGTAGAAGCTGCATGCACGAAGGTAGAAGTTGGTAGAAGCAGACACCAGTGTAGTAACAGGCAGAAGCATGCACCTAGGTAGAAGCTGGTAGAAGCAGACACCAGTGTAGTAACAGGCAGAAGCATGCACCTAGGTAGAAGCTGGTAGAAGCAGACACCAGTGTAGTAACAGGCAGAAGCATGCACCTAGGTAAGCTGGTAGAAGCAGACCCTCGGAAAAAGCTGAAGTCTAGGCAGAAGCTGGTGGAAGCAAGCACCAGGGTAGAACCTGGCACCTAGGAAGAAACTTGAGGAAGCAGCAGCCTGGGAAGGAAATTCTTTTTGTAATCTAGCTGGATATTTCCTTTGGAAAAACAATCTATATAATATTGAAATGCAAAAAAATTTAGAAACTTGAGAATTTTTAAAAAAAAAGTTATGTAAAAAAAACATATATTTTCAAAATAAAACATAATATATCTCTGTGTTAATCATGGTAAGTATTAATGTTAAATCTAGACTTATTACAAAAACTCACCTTAATAAAAGCTCTGTATACATTCACTAATGATACATGGTCCCCTTCTTCAACTGAAAACTTTCTTCTGATTCGATTCTATATCAAGAAATAATATTACATACATAATGCATCAAACATATATAAATAAGCGTTTCATATTAAAACACCTTTCCTTTGTCTGGGACCGATAGCAAATGTGTTTGTTTCTTTATTTCCCTAACATCCTGGTAGCACTCCTTGATGAGTTACATACTCAAGAACAAAATTTCTTTTCATTTAAATCATTAAAGTCTTTTCATGAATTAATAACTTCATTTTTATGGCAAATCAACACAATAATATTATATGAACATGGTATTGAATGAGCCAAACAAAAACAATATCCTTATGCATAACAACATATTTTGAAGCCATTTAAGTAAATCACAACAATACACTTCTAGTAATACTAAAAAGTATACAATGTAAATATATAATCATTCAAAATTTAAAATTGCCTTCCATCAGTACTTTAAGTACTTTGATTTTATTTTGATATTCAAATCCCGTGTTACAGAGAAAACTGTGCTGTCTGAACTTGAGTAGAACCCAGAACCATCAGAACACTGTTCCTCCACTCTACCAACTGAGCTATCCAGCCACTTACACATTTTCCCCACTAAATAGCAAACAGTTCTTATCTATGACATACTCCTCCCTGCATTATTGAAAATCATCCTTAAATTTCTCAGGGTTACAAAGCAATGTGAAATAAACCCTTGAGCTATAACTCAAACCCGGGACCCTCAGAATACTGTTCTGCGGCTTTACAGACTGAGGTGACCAGCCACTTGCACATTTTTTGCTCTTTCACTGGAAAATTCCATGTTCATAACAGAACAAATCTAATATACAACCATGGCAAAGTAAGGACTATCAATAGCCAATGGTTAAAGCAACCAAAGTCACATGACCACTGAGTACCATATCAAAATGTCTAGGAATAATCTTACAGCTGTATGTTTCTGTCCACTAGGTGATACAAACACATTCTGTATCTGTGACATGGCCGCTATGATAACCGCCTCCTCTGAACAACCAAACTCTCCTGTAAACACAATTATTTATATATGTTAATATTTATTCATAACTACAAAATAACAGTCAGGACAATATAATTTTATATCATGAATGAATCTAACAATTTGTTTGTGTTGTGAATACATAAACTCATCAAAATATCTGCTGAATATTTTGTTATAAAATATGTTATTTTATCATATTATTTTATTTATAAAGCCTTATGTGACATCAAAGGAAGACTTTCTGTAATGAGTCATGGAAACAATAACTAGTGTTTTACTGGTTCAACTTACCTGAGACAAGCAACATCTTAGAAAACATTGGTGTAAGAGGAAACTCCGCCATTCTAAGACCCAGCGGAGATGTTAGATTGCCATTGTCATCTAAAGCTGAAAAATTATGTTTGGACAATACAGAATTCTAACATGGATTACTATGGCTGCAGTGACCCTTGAATACATGTTTTTATAAAAGACTATTTAAATAACTGTTTTAGTTTCAAGAATAAAAAAATAAGAACCCTGCACCTGATGTTAACACTTATCTGTTCAATATCCTCTTTTGATAAAAAATTTAAGTTAAAAATGGAATGTAACTCCTTGAACTATGCTCCTTGTCTAACAACTGCACCCTGCCACAATAAGAAAACATTTCAAGTTTCATATTGATACCTTTAAAACTTTTTGAATTATGGGCTTTATTAAAGTTCCAGCATAATGATGACAATGATGTTGATGCTGTAGCGATCATAATTACTCAACTTTTTCTCAGAAACAGACGAGGTAATAATACTCCTTGAGTTAAATTAAACAGGAAAAACAACTCAAGAGAGGAAATGATTATACATTGTTTATAAGAATTTAATGCAAAAATTCTTCTCTTTAACCTGGATTTTTATGTCTTACCTCCAAGTGCATACAACAGTTCCAGGCCTCGCACCATGTTCTGAGCTGGGGGTGCCTGTAACATTAAATTTAATTTATAACCATTATCATTGAAGAAAATACAAAATTAATTATCAAGGTACCATATGCAACAGCTCAAAAAACATTTTGTTGAACAGTTATTTAAACATTGCCACATACAACCTGTCAAAATTCTTTATAAGTAACATTGTAAACATAAACTATTAGTGCGAATGATAAAAGAAAAACAAGAGCTGTCCGTAAGACACTGCCCTTGACTATTACAAGTACTTGCCTGGGAGTGGACATGATGGTCACTAACAAGTATTTAAGTTTCAAAGCAATGCCTGAAAGTGTAATAAGAAATAAATATTGTGGAACGAAAAAATTTAACCAAAAGTGTGGTCTGGACGCCAGTGCCCGAATAAGTAGGATAGCTCTCCCTACAATATAAATATAATAGTCAAACAATAAAAGAAAAGAAACTTTCAATATAATATTAATAATTAAACAAATACTTTGGCTTACTGATAGAAAATGGAACCTTAACACATTTGCAATACCCAAAGCTTTGAGCTGGAGTATAACAGGAGCCAGGTCTGATCTCTGCATCTCTGGCACTGTGGCCTCCGGTAATTTATCATAATCAGCCTCTGTAATAAATACAACCAATATTTGATGTAAGAAATTATATCAGGCTTTATACAGCAAAATCTGTTAGATATGACACAGCCTACAACTTGACAATAAATTATTACAAAATAATTAATTGTCATATTAAATGGGTTTTATGTCACACTGGTTTTAAGTGTCGCTACACTGTTTTTAAGTGACACTCTGGATTTAAGTCACATGTGTTTTATGTCATCCTGGTTTTATGTCAGAATGGTTTTATGTCACACTGGCTTCAAGTCACACTGATTTTATGTCACACTGATTTAAATTACAACAGTTTTATGTCATCACATTGGTTTTAAGTCACACTAGTTTTAAGTCACACTGGTTTTATACCAATCCGGTTTTAAGTCACACTGGTTTTATGTCGCATTGGTTTAAAGTCACAACAGGTTTATGTCATCACACTGTTTTTAAATCACAGTAATTTTAAGTCACACTAGTTTTAAGTCACACTGGTTTTATGTCACACTGGTTTTATGTCATACTGGTTTTAAGTCACAGTTGTTTTTATATCAATCTGGTTTTATATCAATCTGGTTTTAAGTCACACTGGTTTTAAAGTCACACTAGTTTTATGTCACACTGGTTTTTAGTCACACTGGTTTTATGTCACACTGATTTTAAATCACACTGGTTTTATGTCACACTGGTTTCAAGTCAAACTAGTTTTATGTCACACTAATTTTAAGTCACAATGGTTTTATTTCACACTGGTTTTAAGTCACATTTGTTTTTATATCAATCTGGTTTTAAGTCACACTGGTTTTATGCCACTCCGGTTTTAAGTCACACTGGCTTTATGTCAAATTTGTTTAATGTCACATTGGTTTTATGTCACAACAGGTTTATGTCATCACACTGGTTTTAAATCAAAGCAGTTTCAAGTCACACTAGTTTTAAATCACACTGGTTTCATGTCAAACTGGTTTTAAGTCACATTTGTTTTTATATCAATCTAGTTTTAAGTCACACTGGTTTATGCCATCACAATTGTTTTAAATCAGACTAGTTTCAAGTCACACTGGTTTTATGTCACACTGGTTTTAAATCACACTGGTTTTAAGTCACACTGGTTCCAAGTCGCACTAGTTTTATGTCACACCGGGTTCATGTCACACTAGTTTTAAGTCACAATGGTTTTATTTCACACTGGTTTTAGGTCACATTTGTTTTTATATCAATTTGGTTTTAAGTCACACTGGTTTTATGCCACTCTGGTTTTAAGTCACACTGGTTTTATGTCAAATTTGTTTTATGTCACATTGGTTTTAAGTCACAACAGGTTTATGTCATCACACTGGTTTTAAATCACAGCAGTTTCAAGTCACACTAGTTTTAAATCACACTGGTTTCATGTCACACCAGTTTTAAGTCACATTTGTTTTTATATCAATCTAGTTTTAAGTCACACTAGTTTCAAGTCACACTAGTTTTAAGTCACACTGGTTTTATGTCACACTGGTTTTAAGTTATATTTGTTTTTATATCAATCTGGTTTTAAGTCACACTGGTTTATGTCATCACACTGGTTTTAAATCACACTAGTTTCAAGTCATCTTAGTTTTATGTCACACTGGTTTTACGTCACACGGGTTTTAAGTCATAATTGTTTTTATATCATTTGGTTTTAAGTCACACTGGTTTCAAGTCACACTAATTTTTTGTCACTCTGGTTTTATGTCACACTGGTTTTATGTCACACTAGTTTTATGTCACACTAGTTTTATGTCACTGGTTTTATGTCACACTAGTTTTATGCCACATTAGTTTTATGTCACACTAGTTTTATGTCACATTAGTTTTATGTCACACTAGTTTTATGTCACACTAGTTTTATGCCACATTAGTTTTATGTCACACTAGTTTTATGTCACACTAAATTTATGTCACACTGGTTTTAAATGAATATACAGCTTTACTGATTGAGAAAGACCTCAGGTGCCCTTCATGCATGAGAAGGTAGATATTTCTACTCAGGTGCCCTTCATGCATGAGAGGGCACCTGAGTAGAAATATCTACCTGATATAAGTTAGGTAAAAACCATCCTAACATACAAGAAAACAAAAATTCACAAGGGATTTAAACCACAGCCATTAAGGACAAATGATACAAACTTAGCAACCTTAACCATAAAGTCATATAATACAATTTAAGTGCTAAATGTAATGCTCTTTGATGTCCCTTGTAAACATATGATCAAAACTACATGTTATATTTTAGAAAAGATGAATATAACGAGAAGCACTTTATACCAATAAATTACCTGTAAACAGTCTGTAAGCTTTGCCTGCCCGTACACGTCCTGCCCTACCAGCCCTCTGATTGGCAGATGCCTGTGACACTGGTACAATCACTAAACTTTCTAAAAGGAGGCAAGGACAAATAAACACAATATAGTAAACAAATAGATCTGAAATCGCAGCCGCAGACCATTATCAACATTAACTTGGAAATATTTTTATTTAATGAATCGGAAATATTTTTATTTAATGAAATACAGAGGTTGAAATTAAATATTTAATGACAATACAGAGGTTAAATGACACACTTTTTTATGAAAATCTATCTCATTTATTGTGTAATGGTTAGTTCTGATGTTTTCTTATGCTTTAGCATGCTGTCAGTGACAAGTTCTAGCAATGCCAACCGTGCAGACCATGATCAGCTGACAAATCATTGCAGTCTGATCATGGTTTGCACATTTCATTTGACACACAGTTGTAATTTAAAAGTTTTCCCTAAAAATGATGAACGGTTTTGTCCAGATTTAAAGATTTTTGACAAATATATTAAAGATATTTAGCATGGTAAGTGTTAATGAATGGTCTAAAGTCATACACTAGAGATGCCATCATAAAATCACAGCTACTACAAAATGAGTAGCCAACAATTAAAACACCACACCTGGCTGCTCGACTACTGATCTAATGCTGGTAAAAAAAATATGCCAACTTTGTCACAATTACTTACAGCAGAAAGACAACAGTAAATATCTAAGTATCATTCTTTTAAACAAGAAAATGTACTGACCTATGCCTGTTTTTGGATGGTATGTCCTTATTTTCACAAACCCACAATCAACAACTGAAAATGGATGAAAGTAAATGATATATTATATGTATACTTATAATGATTAAGCACCACTATTACTGACATTATATTCTAAGAATTTCAAGTAGAAGAAACAGATATTATCTTAAGAAATTTTGATATACATTAACAACCAACAGTATCAAGCCTGGTTCGACTACGCTAAGTGCACTGCTGGTGGCATAGAAAATTTAGTAACGCCACTAGTAAAATTATGGTTGAAGTCATAACGCCAACACTATAGGGAAGGGTTACCTGATGCATGAGCAGACTACTCAGGCTCTGCACTGGTGAAATACGCCTATCATTTATTACAGTTTTATCTTGAAAGTTACAAATAAAGACTTACTATACACTATGCCATTTATTGTGATAGAAGTTTCCGCTATGTTGGTAGCTACAACTATTTTACGACAATTCTTTGGTGTCCTTTCAAAAGCCTTCATCTGAAAGCAGAGAAATATTCTATTTTATTAAATCACATTACCAAAACTCTATTATCAGAAGGTATTACTTGGCTGCTGTTTGCTTTTATGCTACTATAATGACCCAAAGATGTCCACAATGGCCGGGGGGGATGGGGGGTGGGGGTGGAAAGGGGGCATAGGCTAAAAGACATTATGGTTCCAATGCATTCACACACATGTTGGAAAATTGATAACTATGTTACTATATATAGTAAAAAAAAAAATATACCTTTATACTCTTTAAGTTAGATGTTGCTAAAATATATGCTGTCATAAAAAAAATACAATAAATAACATTAAAAATTGAACCTGTTCTGCAGCAGGCAGACTGCCGTGCATTGGAACTATTTTCATTCTCATTGCATCTGGTTTCTTCAGCAACTGCTTTGCTTCTTCTCTGAAATATAGATCATAGTTTATATTTGGTCTCAAAAAATCACTTTTGAATAAAGCACAAATCATGTACAATAATGCTCTGTCGGTGTTTATTTTCATAAAGACAGACAAAACAAATGTTTTACTGGATATACTGATCTACTTAATGAAGTGGACCTACAGGCTGTTGCATAATGCAGGATATATGACTTTTCTCACATAAAGTTTTTTTTTTTTAATTACCGATGTGGTTTTTTTTTTCAGTTTTGCGGAGTCATACCAACACTTTAAAGATCATAATGTGACTCTCCAACTTTAGTGGTGGAGAAATACTTCAGGTCCTTCTCCATGCTTTATTTCAGGAATGAGAGGGCCTCTGAGAAGAACCACTGACAACTCATATTAAAGCTAGCTGAATAGCTTCCTACTGGAAAGAATACAGATTTAAAATGAGCCGCATCATGACAAAACCAACATAGTGCGTTTGCCACCAGCATGGATCCAGACCAGCCTGGGCGTCCGCGCAGTATGATCAGGATCCATGCTGTTCCCTATCAGTTTCTCTACTTGTTATAGAGTTGGTAAGAGTCTGATGCGCAGGCTAGTCTGGATCCATGCTAGTCGCAAACCCATTATGTTGGTTTTGTCGTGACGCGGCTCAAATATTCTTACATCAGGGGCGTAGCTTGAAAGAAACCAATGTGTTGGCACTTGTGTTAGGGGGGGTCCGGGGGCATGCTCCCCCGAAATTTTTTGAAAATCTACATTGCCATAGCTGCATTCTGGGGCATGTTAAGGCATGTTCTGAAGGAAGAGTATTCATAATTTTGCTGAATTTTGGTTACATTTTTTCCATCAATTTAAAGATGAGTGACCATACTTATATCTGACACTAACTCAACGCAAAGCTACTGTGACATTTTAGCAAAAAGAGCTTTTTTCCGTATATAGTTTTGGGTAATAATATATGAATCCAGAACTATACATTTAAAAAGAACAAATTTATGTAATTTTTGTAAGCAATCATCAAAATTTCAAAAATCAAAATAAGGTTGTCTAAATATATAATTAGAAAATAATGAAAACAAAGATCAACAAGATCGAACGCCATTAACTAAATGCACCCCTATACACCGGACAATCGGTATTTAAATACCAATTGATGATGAAATATCTAATGTCACACAAACAGCGTCGAATACATTTTTTTCAATAAGATTTTATGCTCCCATAATTCATGAATGAAAGCCTTAGTGAAGCATATATAAAACATAGAATAGACTGTTTACGTGAAGTCAAACATATAAAGAAAGTAAAGACAAAGCAAACTTACACCTCCAGTACGTTACCTACAGTAATGTAAGAAAAAGAATTCCGAAGAGCTTTTATTATCAAACATTTTTGTAATCTGAATGAGCTATTTCGCACGAAGTAGTGTTAGAATGTTCAAAAATCTATTTCACAATTGTAAGAATTACTTTCAGTGTGAATGAATTTGGCATGTCAGAACGCTCATATTCATTTACATGTACATGTTTATTTTAAGAACTAAAAAATCGGATATTTTCAATCATGTTTTTCCTTACATTCTTCCTTTCTTCTAATATCTCCATAAGTTACCTAAGTCTCTTTATATTGATAATTCAACAATCAATTATTCTCTAATTTTTCGTTGTACATTCAAAGAGCTTACATCTATCCGCAACTTTTTGTATCTTTATTTTGAAAATTACTTTAGCTGGAGAGGTATTGTATTACATGTTTTCCAATCCAATCTGAAATACATTGTTGTGAAATGTTTGTAAATGTTACTTTAAGTGCAATTTAATGAATAAAAAAAGTTTCATTAAAGTATAAAATTGCATCGCTAGCGTTAAATGTACTTGTATATGTGAATGACGATGAACCGATGTGTTCAAGTCAATTTTGTTGAATAAATTTAACTTCTGTTCTGTTCTGTTAAAGACAAACTCTCCACCACTATGCTATTTAATGCAGATTTTGATGTGTATTCGAACACATTACTTGTATATATTATAAATAATTTAAATACATTTAAAAAAAAATGTAATAACACAGATTATGTTTCACGTTTACTTCAAATCGACTTTATGAACTTGACGGAGATGCAGTTTGAACAGAATAACGAACAAATAATTAAATCATGAATACCTTAAAAAGGGAAGAGAATATAAAAGACAAGATGTCTAGCCTTCAGCTTAGCTTCCTCATCAGTTGTATAAAGCTAGCACTACCGATATCTGGATATGGCCGATCATTGTCGTGCATACTTGTAGATTCTAATATTTATATTTTGAATCGAAGCGTTCAAAAACTTCATCCGTCTCTGATAGGTTTTACCACAGAAAAACTTTATAACACGGCAACACTTTCGTTATGAAATAAAACTCGATATTAAGAGTAAAAAACTCGATTCAAATAAGCAAGGTGACAGGTCATTTTCTAATATTAGGACCTACACATGATCTACCGCCCTTACCTTAAAATTGTAATAATTTAATTTTTCATTTTTGAGGAAAAAGTGTAGGCACGTGCCTACAGTGCCTATAGGAAGCTACGCCACTGTACATATTCATTATCTCAGCTGTGAGAGGCTAGAGTCTTGACCATAGTAATTATGTACATGCATTAAGATATTTGATTTGAAAAGTTCATTTTGATCCAGCCCTTCATCTATGTCAGCATTGATCAAAGTCATAGGGTAAAGTTCAAAGGTCAGAATCAGATTTATTGCATGCTTAACTTAATTCAATCAGTAATACTCACATCAGCATTCTTGTGACTGTGCCAACTTCATCCTATAAAGTATGAACAAAAATTTATATTGTAATTTCACCTAACATCATCCATAGTATACATTGCCTTGCTCTATTTACTATTTGTAATTTTTCTAAAGTGTAGAAACGAAACTGGCAGATAACAAATTACCACCAACAAAACAAGAGACGATGAGTTGTTTCCCTTCCTTCAATTCTGGTCTTATATACTTAACAAGTTTTCAAGACATGAGGTTTCTTGTGTGGATACTAAGTATTCCATACATTCCATATTTTAAATTTCAATACAAAAAGTATAACATTGTATCAGTTCCATGACAAATGCCACCTTATATATATCTGATGGTATATTAAAGCTTACCATTCCTGTGAGGAAAGCGAGAACGTCTCCGGGTTTCTCATTACGATGAAGCTTCACAATTGTATCTACAGTTGCCTTGATATAATCTGGTACTGGACTGAAACAGAATAGAAAATACAACTTGTATAAGATCCTGTATAGATCTTTTACTTAATATTACACTGTTAGATAAATGTTAACAATCAATCTATAACATATAAACTAGCACTAAACTCATCTTGCTTAAGACTCCCTATATAACACTTTTAACATAAGTCTATATGAAAATACAACTTTTAAGAATCTATATAGATCTATTACAGTCATGATATTATTACATTGCCAGATATATGTTTAAAATCAACATGTTACTTACTCTATGGTATAATGAATATCAACAGGAAATGCTCTTCCTTCTATACTTAGAATAGCTGCCGTGTCTAGACTGAAAATGTTAACATACATCTAGATTTTTAGCTGATTACTATAGAATAAACCATGAAACCGAACACAACAAATTATAAATATATAACTCATCAAAGGGAAGTTATTCTCTGTTAAACCCAGAGTTGTAAGTCTTGATCACTTTCTATATATGTCATGTGTAGATCTTGATCACTTTTCCTCATATGTGAAGTTTACATCAAATACTTTCAGTAGTTGTTGCGAAAGAAGTTGCAAGTCAAAATTTAATCAGGAATTTTGCAAGTTCATGAAGGGGTATAATTCAATTAATATGTTAACTCCATGCCAGAGTTTCTTGGAGACTTAAAAACCTTAACTAAATACATGTTTTACCAATGTAAACTCAAGGGTGAGAAGGATTGCCCCTTTCTCCAATACTGTAAAATTCATCTTTGTGAAATTTTGGTGACATCAAATTATTTCTTTTTTCAAAGAATGGGCACACTGCTTTGCCAAGTACTAACAAATATATTTAAGAGGAAGTGAAAGATTTTCACTATCTTCAATTCTAACACAACCTGCATTTTTCTCTATTGAACATACACATACCGAAAGTGTGTGAGAATATGCAATAAAATCACTGTTGATGGTCTATTGTTAGACATGTGACGTCACAATTAAAATGTGACACACTAAAAATAAGTACAGAAACAAATTAGGCATAATTTAGCTTGATATCAGGTAAAGCAGCATTTATTTGATGATGTTGTGTTAGAATCAAAATAATATGTCCAAAGCAGTGATTTTATCACTTTATAAAATCACTGTTTGTTTGCTACAACCTTGTGATATAATTCCATCTGAATTCCAAGAAATAATATATCCCAAACTGTGATTTTATCGCTCAATAACATCACTGTTTGGAGTTCGGATGCGAGGAATTATACAGTAAACTCCGCTTATAACGAACTCACTGGGACATTCAAAACCTGTTCCTTATATCCGGAGTTCCTTGTAAGCATATAGCGATTTAGTTCGTTGTATCAGGAGTTTATATAGCGAACAGTTTTACATATAACGAACTGATTGTTTACCATTGTCCGCCATTTTTGAAGATAATTTGATTAAGAAATAGAAATATTAGTCATTTATTTATATTTTAGACACACTACCCGAGAGCGTACCTTTTGGAATTCGAAAATCATTGCTATTTCAGTTTTAGTTTTACTCCTTATCTCAATTTCACATAAAATATATTATTTAATTTTACCCATGAAATATGGTGCTATATCAGTCAAATATATTTCATATTTTTTAAAAATAAATATGAATTATAAATATGAAAGTGGGCGGAGTCAAAACTCATATTTATTTTAAGGGACTTCTTTCGCCGGTTTGTTTAAAAAATCTGATAAATACAAAACAACTTTTTCTTGAATTTTGTTTTGAAAACTATCTAGCATGATAGAAAATGGTCTAACTAAGAAAATTAATCCGCACACCAATATCTTTAATTCAGTAATTAACGCTGTACAGACGTTTAAAGAGTTGTTTACATGACGTCACAATTTAGCGCCAAACAGCACATGCTTACGCATAAATTACTGCGCGCTGTACAATTGCAGTTGGTAGCAAGCAAGGGAATTCGTTACCATTTTCTTTGATAATGAAATTAAATAAAAAGGTTATTTTTTCGTTTTTCGTGAAATATGGTACATATTTTCACTCAACATGATAAAATGCCACATTACAAAATATGTGGCATTTTATCATGTTTCGTGAAAATATAAACCATGTTTCACGCAAACGAAAAAATATCCTCTTAATATTTTGTTTCTAAACTATTTTCGTTTTCTTTCCATGATTGAGAATAAACAAGATTTTCGATTTTTCCTTCCTTTTATATTGAATATCTTATAATTTAAGGGTGACTTTACTAATGTAAGATATATATTTCTTTTCATTTAAATCAATCGTACTTTGCAGTTTGCAATGGATCATGCTTGCAAGCATGCATGATTATGTTGAAAACCGATTATAAATTATTATAATTATTTTACTCGAGCAAAACTATTGAAGAAAATAAATAAATAACCGTTTTATCTTGGTGAAAAGAGCTCATCCTAAAAATATCCAAAATAGAAAACTATAAAAATTCATTTGAATAGATGCATTGAAGTACATACAACGATAAACGGTACATTCGCCCGAGTTTTAATCCGTGCGTTGAAAATGCGGGATCTATTTACGGATAGCCAATATTTTGGAGATCGCTATATAGTGTAATTTTCTGTACTATTAACTAAATTGGGACTAAGAAATGAGTTCCTTATAAGCGATAATTCCTTATAACTGTGTTCGCTATAACCATATATTTTTATATTAAATAAAGAAGGCCAAAATTCGGGCCAAAATAAATTGTTCCCTATAACCGGAAGTTCGCTATAACTGTGTTCGCTATAAGTGAAGTTTACTGTATAATGATGCGCATCTGAACGACAAACAGTGATGTTATCCAGCGATAAAATCACCGATTTGGATATATTATTTTGATTCTAACACGACATTAACAAATATATGCTGCCGTACCTGATATTAAGCAAAATCGCGCCTGATTTGTTTCCGTACTTATTGTCAGCGCGTCGGATTTTATAGTGGTTATGTCACATATATAATGATTACGTCACATGTCTAAATATAGAACGTCAAACAGTGACTATATAGCATAACACACACTTTCGGTTCTTCTATGTTCAATAGGGAAAAATGCGGGTCGTGTTAGAATTAGCGATAAAATCACTGTTGGGGATATATTATTTCTTAAATAAAGTGAAATATTTTCACTATCTTCAAGTAAATGTAAAATTTCACTTTGTACTACCTTTTGTCATCTGTTTCATTTCTGTTGAAAAAATCCTTGATTTCCTGAAAATCAAAAAACACAACAGAATTTTATCAGCTGTTACATTAAAGTATATTACTGCATCTATTGTCTCAAAAAATACCTATTTCTATAATCCTTTGAAACACACTGAAAGATAATATTCAACAAGATTTCGTTTTAATTGTTTCTCTGTAAATCTTTCTGGCTCAGCTTATATCTTGCAGCGAATTGCAGGCATTTTTAAAATATAAAACCCCTGTTTTCCTTGTATGAACAAAAACCTTCATAAAAACAAAGTACAAAATTCAATGAATTTTTTGAACTACTAAATTGTATTAATCATTCATTTAACTGTGGAATTAGATAAAAACTTGATAATTTCAAATACCTCAGCATCTAATGTTGCAGACGCCACTATAACATGTAAATCTTCTCTCTTCTGTTGAATCTGCATAATAAACAGAGAATATTGAATTAGTGTAAGTTCAATGCAAAATTCATTTCACAAGTAAAATAATAAATTGCTCACAAGTCTATTCCACAAGCGCAATAAATTTAGTAATGAAGCTATATGAATATAATACTTTATTGATCACATATCCACAATTAAAAATTAAAACAGTAAATAAAACATTTTTTCATTGATGCACTTACAGTACACTGTATTATTTAGCATGTATTATGCTGTTTGTATAATGCAAATGATGTCAAATCAAACTAGAACTTTCACTAAATGTGATTAATACCCCCGCAAGATTGCTTCAGAAATGAGGAAGTTACTAGTTACAGAATACATTGTAAAAGAATTGAAATAGTGTTATGGTTGTAGGCAATTAAAGATGGTTGTGGTTCTTGTATGTTGCATTTCCTTTTAACTATGGTTAACCATTGAGTTTTATTAAATTACTGTGTAATAAGTCCAGATAGAGTTACAGTTCTTGAGCACTGCACTTCCTCTCATTGTGCTGGACCACTGTATAAAGTTCATACAACTGAATTTGCATTGAATTCCAAACATTAAAGTTATGCACTGGACAAGGAGAAGGAACAAAGGGCAATAACTCTGCAAATACTTAAGATGGAGTTATGGTTATTGTACACTGCACTTCCTCTCATTGTGTTTGACCATTGTATGAAGTTGTATTGAATTCCAACCACAAGTTTTCAAGTTATGCACTGGACAATAAAAAGTAACAAAGGGCAATAACTATGTAATTAGTCCAAATAGAGTTATGGTTTTTGAACACTGCATTTCAATTCATTGGGCTTGACCATTGTATGAAGTTGTTTTGAATTTCAACCAATAATTTTCAAGTTATGCACTGGGCAAGGAAAAGTAATGAAGGGCAATAATTCTTTAATTACTATAGATAAGAGTTATGGTTCTTGTGCACTGCACTTCCTCTTATTGAACTTGACCATTATATTAAGTTGCTTTGAATTCCAATAAGTACTTTTCAAGTTATGCTTTGGACATGGAAAAGTATCAAAGGGCAATAACTCTGTAATTATTAATAATGGGGTTATGGTTCTTATTCATTGCACTTCCTCTCAATGTGCTTGACCATTGTATTAAGTTGTATTGAATTCCAACTAGTGGTTTTCAAGTTATTTTTTGGCCAAGAAAAAGCAATGGAAAAGTAACAAAGGGCAATAACTCTGTAATTACTTAAGATAGAGTTATGGTTCTTGTGCACTGCACTTCCTCTTATTGTGCTTGACCATTGTATGAAGTTGTTTTGAATTCCAACAGTAGTCTTCAATGCTCCGGACAAGGAAAAGTAACAAAGGACAATAAGTTTGTAATTAGTCAAGATGGAGTTATGGTTCTTGTGCACTGCACTTCCTCTTAATGTGCTTGGCCATTGTATGAAGTTGTATTGAATTCCAACCATTTGTCTTCAAGTTATGCTTCGGACAAGGAAAATGCAACGGACCACTGGACCGACCAACCACTGGGTGACTCCTATATACCCCCCAAATTTCTTTTTGGGGGGTATAAATATATGCACCATGGTGTATTACTGTTTTTTTTACGAAGTCGTTGGACCTTCAGAGGTATAAGATAAAGTAATACAATAAGGTTTTGGCAATGAACAATTACAGTACAACCTCTGCTAAGCAACCACCTTTGGGAGATGAAGATTTTGGTTGTTGTAGAGAATTGTTGCTCTTGAAAGGTTCAATTTATTGCAATCTTTCTTCAGTAATAACTGAAACTGTTGTTGTACAGAGGCAGTTGTTCTACAGAGGGCAGCTCTGTATATCTTACATATTTTACATGAATTATAATTATTTTTCACACTAAAGCTACACACTACATATATATTTTCTGATAAAAACATAGTTAATACCTTTCTTATAAGGCCAAGAATTATATCTGTATACAATGTTCTCTCATGCACCTCATCTAACAGTAGCACACTGAAATATAACATTTACATTTTTTTATTTCATAATTATGCATGTGCAAATTTAATTTCCTTTCCTTTTTATTTTTTTTCAACAGTTCCAAAAGCTACATACTTGTATGTATATTCTGAATGACGAAATCTAAATTTTTTAAACACTTAGTTTGTGAAAACATTACAAAATACAATTTCAAGTAACTATAGAAACATGCTATTAGTCCCAGAATCTTGATTTCAAGCAAAACTGGATATAAAGCTCAGTGAACTATAGCAATAAATATTAATTTCAGATAACTATGAAATGAATAATGAAGAATGATATTTTTTTTGGGTTTGGTTTTACATTGCATCAATACAGTTCAGGTCATATGGCTATTTTCCAGCTATACTGGTGAAGGAAGACCTCAGGCATCCCTCTATGCATTAATTTAGAAACAAACGGGCACAAGAGTAGAACCACCAACGTTCTGTGAGCTAGCAGGATAGCTTTTCTCAGATGAGAGAATCTGAAGATACTTGCGTGATTCGAACCTTCAGCAGTGCGAGGCAAGTGGTTAAAGTCAATGACCATAACCACTCTACCATGGACACTTTAGTAGTTTAATAGCTTAGAGCTAAGAATCTGTTCAGACTAAGCGGGTTTTCCAACTAGCATAACTTTATGACTATGCAGTCGCAGGTTAAGCACAGAAATGTTAATTAGTCTTAAAACCAACCTGTATCTTGATAACAATGGGTCTTTCATTATCTCCCTTATCAACATCCCATCTGTCATACACTGAAAAATTCATACAAAAATGATCAAAAAATATATTTCGATCATTCTACTGCATATTTATTTGTGTTTGTAGTTATTCTTTTAGAAACAACTTGCTATATGATGTTTAAGTCTAGCTTCTATTGACAAAAGAACAAACAAAAAAACTACAAAAACAATTGTATTTCTTTTATTTATGGCTGACATTAGAAACCAAAATAGAAGACCACTCTGAAACATGGCCATCAAGATCAAATCTATTTAAGAATAAGATATAAAGTTTTCCTTTCTTAAATACCAACTAAGTGAACATTCACAGTCTAATCTAAACAAGTTCTAGTAATATAAGTTGTAGAAGTGAACAATTTCTGTAAAATCATTTTTATTTGCGGGGCGACTTTTGTAGAAAGGTCAATCTACAAATTTACAATCAAACGAAATTTCATTTCATCTGCTGCAACATTATTTTGCATTACATTATTTGCATTAAACTTCTTTTGCAAGAATATATTATCCAAGAATTTTAAAACCCAAGAAAATATCCTTTGTCAAATTGTGACTAAACCACAAAAATTTTCATGCCCATGAAATTTAGTAAATTCACAGTAGTTCAGTTACATTATATATTTCATTTCAGTTTACTTGTGATTAAAGCTAGTAGCTCAAGCTTACCTCTTGTTAGTCAGCTGAGGACAAATGGTTTAGACCCCAGGTAAGATTCGAATCCATGATCCATGGAGTTGAGAGGCAGACACCTTAACCACTAGGTCAACTCCCTTACATATGAGGAATTAGACTTGGAGTCAAACTGTGGCCAAACACAATATGCCATTCCATAATCAATGGACATAAAAACTTAGAAATGAATCAACATACTATCAATATTAAGAGTTTGAATCCTTTAGTAGACTGACAAGAACAACACATTTATTACTATACTAGTTAACAAACCTTTACGCTAGTGGTTTCATCACAACAATCATCAAATCTGATAAGATAACCAATTTCTCCACCCAGTAATGTCCCACGCTCTTCTGCTATCCTGCTGGCAACCTGAACACATAATACAAGAATATTTCAGTACATCATAATCTAATTGTGGGAATTGACTGCAACAACTTCAAACACATAAAAACTAATGGATGGCTAGAAGAGTGGGTTCATACATTGTTGTTTCCTTGAGCAAGAAACTTAAAACTTATTGCTCAGTACTGATTGATTCCAGGAATGAATTTGAGAGTGTGTCTACAAGCCTACAACATCCTTCACAATCAAACTCAATTAAAGTCTGTTTAAACTAAAGAACCAATTCCCTATGGAATTGTAAGCTGTTTTATCTAAAGTAATGCAGATAGGTGTTCACCCATACATAAAGCAGATAGGTGTGTGCCAATAGGTAACACAGATAGGTGTTCACCCATACATAATGCAGATAGGTGTGCACCCATACATAATGCAGATAGGTGTGCACCCATAGATACACAGATAGGTGTGTGCCAATATGTAACACAGATATGTGTGCACCCATATGTAACACAGATAGGTGTGCATTCATACATTATGCAGATAGGTGTGCATTTATACATAACACAGATTGGTGTGCATCCATACCTAATGCAGATTGGTATGCACACATACGTAATGCAGATAGTTGTGCACCCATATGTAACACAGATTGGTGTTCATCCATTCATAACACATATTGCTGTGCATCCATACCTAACACAGATAGTTTCATTTATCTAATTTTAAATACTAACTGTTATAGCTGCTACTCTCCTAGGCTGTGTCACACCAATTAAATGGCCTTCCTTACACCAACCTGCCTCCAATAAATACTGTAATAGGAGATAAATAACTGTAGAGCAATTTATAAAACGAAAATTTAACACAAAAACTTTTCTACATGTATCTTTTGAGCAATGCTTATCCTTTAAACATACCGTAAGTAATTTAAGGACTTGCCTTGCCAAGAAATTCAAATGACCAAGTTTTAGAGACTTGCCTTGCCAAGTAATTCAAATGACCAAGTTTTAGAGACTTGCCTTGCCAAGTAACTCAAATGACCAAGTTTTAGAGACTTGTTTTGCCAAGCAATTCAAATGACCAAGTTTCAGAGACATGCCTTGCCAAGTAACTCAAATGACCAAGCTTTAGAGACACATACCTGAGGAATCTGAGTGCTTTTACCACAACCTGTTGATCCAACTATAACCACAGTCTGATATTTCTCCACAAGGTACAAGATATGGTTCCTCACCTGAAACATGTGAACTGTAAGTAACATAATTGGCAAAAATTGTAAGATTCTGGTATATTCAAAGTCAAATAAAATGAATGATCTTTAACCCTAATACTTATCATCTTATCACACGACACCCTTGTTTTCTATGTAATATAACTTTGACAAAATTTCTTTTTATCAAATGTTATTGCTTGTTTTACAAGTCATATATCAACTATTTCTTTATATAACACATGGATTACATTATGGATGTAATGATGTATGTCATGTATATAAATACTTTATGAATATAATTACGTCGTGTACATGTATATACAAAGTAGTTTTTTCTTATATTTCAATTGAAAGCTGAAAAAAGCTGTTAAAGAGTTAAATTAAATTAATTAAAAAATACACAGACATCCCTTTGACATCTTACTTTAAATATGGGAAGTTTTTGTCTCTGCTGTTCAATGGATAGTGATACATTGGGATTATACACAGCAACCTGGCTGTCAGTCTCTTTTCCAGACTTTCTTTCTTCTTCGAGACTTTGCCCTGGAGCTGTCTCTCCTATGAAACAAAGAATTGTGGTTGAAAACATAGGATCAGCATGTAGACCAAGGTAACATTGTAGGTAAGCATTAGTAAACAAACATTTAATTTGATGAGGTAGTCTAAGACATAAAATTACAAACCTTTATTTTGTAGTCACAGAATCATGCAATAAATAAATACTTATAGAGCAGTGACTGTATGTTTTTTTGTTTGAATTGCAACATGTTTTAGTTCTGCAATACACACAGGAAACGATTAACCTAAAAATTGTCGAGTCATGATCAACTTACAACTTTTCCTCTTCCTGCCTAACTTCTAATTAGATAAAATATGTACATTCTACAGAACAGTATACAAATAATGTCAGGTCAACTAGACCCTTGGTCAACTTGTCACTATTTTAGTAAATTTGTTCGTAACTTTCAGTTCACTCATCACTATTAAATATAAAAACAAGTCAGAATAAAATGGTTTAAAATCGATTTTTATTTTCAAGGTTTTATATTAAAAATGTACACTGAAATCTTACTGAATTGTAATTGGTTAAATACATTGATAAAATAATGTATGTAAATTGATATATTATATCAGTGACACTGTATTTGCAATACTTTCAAATTATACAAATTTAGGTGACATGCATTTTAACTGATCACTAAACACACATAGCATAGCTTTGATATAATATTACAAAGACTTCCTATCTAAAAAAAATAAAATAACAACAAAGATACTTTATCCATTCTATTCAGTAACTAAAACAAAATCAAAACACTTCTTTGGCCAGGGCATTTTTAAAAAAAAAATATGAAGGGGCCTGGGCCTGTTCATTTCGTAAGAAAAGGGCAATATGTCATAAAATTGTAAAAAAATGACATATAACTTGGCAATTCGCGACATTTTGAATCCGGAAACGGTTAATCATAATTTCTGACCTGTAAGTCAATACATTAACACGGTTAACATGTGCAAAAACCATTTAACTTGATTAAAACTATTTCAGTGTTATTGCAAATGGAGTAAATCAAGTTTTACCGGAAGGTAAACAATGTATTTCGAAGACAAAGTCCAAATATTTTGTGAAATTGCTTTTGAAATTGTGTAATTTTTTCTGCCACTTTTTGAAAAAAATTGCAATTTTGAATTGTGAAGGGGCCTTATATCGGCCCCTGTTATAGAAGGAAAAAATGCCCTGTTGGCAAATTCATTCTAAAAGAAATCTGTATTTAACGGTAAAAGTAAATCGAGCTCGCTTTAAGGATTTGCCTTTTTCATATTAGTTAAAATTGATATATATAAATGATATTGGTACACGAGGATAGAAAATAGGCCGCATTTAGTAAGAAGTAACCATAAATATGATGAAACTTCAATTTGAAGTTCAAAACAGTCGCGAAATCTAGTTGCAGATAAGATAGAAAGGAATAACCAACCTGGTTTCCAAAATTTCGGCTTCTTGATCATTTTACTTGAGAGATATTTTAACTTTCTGCCCGTTGACAATTCGAACCTTTCTCATAATAGCTATTTTATCCTTGTCAAATGTTGTTTTTGTGTTCAAAAACGTTTCCCGTATTTTTTTGAAGGTGCGTGTAAAAATAATAAACGTGAAAATCACTCTTCATCCCGCAGACCAATTAAAATCGCACCTGTCAAAATATATGAAAAATAGTCCTTAACTCAATTGCAATACAACATTCAATACGTCCATCAAAAAACTTCATTATATTTATTGGATGTCAAAAATGTAATTCTGTATTGAATTTTAGGCAGAGTTTAGTTATTTTTATTCAATGATTTGAATTGAAATTCAAGAACGCGGAGGAATAAATACATTGTCCGTACAATATTCGGCTTCATTTGGCCTGGAGTTCAACAAGGAAAAGTGATTCACGAATATACAGTGTGGAATTTGTTTACATTTTTAACGTTGTCATTAAAACAAAACAAAGTTATCGGTCAGAGTTTATTCTTTTATTTTAATATTTCAGTTGTAGTGTGTTATATTATACTCTGACTTTAGTTAGATCTTTAAATTTATTGAATTCTGTGGAAAAACTGGAAATTAATTATGAGGGGTGTTCTCAAAGAAGGCGACAGTGATAGAGTGTTTCTATAACAATGGCAAATATGAAAAATCAAAATATCAGTGGATATCCTTTACAGGGCTCTGAAAATGTGTTTGTAGGATACGGCAAACATCAGGTTAATGTCAGTGTTTCTGAAAACAAGCCTCCAATACCAGCTGGAATGAGTAACTCAACATCTCATATGTTAAGAATGTTTGATAACAATGTGAATCAAATGCTTCATGTGCAGCAACAACCCCAACTTCAGACAATTCAAGGCCGAGAGATCATGATAGGGGGGCAAAGACTGGCAGGTCCTGGCATTGCCAGTCAAATTCATAGCCAGGGCAGTTACATTACTATTAATGGAACTCACAATCCAGTTAATGGAGGGTCTGAATATTCAAGTCCAAGATCTAGTGTAGGAAGTGCTGGAGATTCAAAAAATTCAAGTCCGCGTTCCAGCTTGATACATCAATCACAACAGGCACCCCCACCCCCATATGATGCAAGATTTAGGAATAGTATAGCTAGTAATTTATCAAGTATAAGTCTCGATTCAAATAGAAGCTCTCCAAGAACAAGTTTAGCAGGAGGGATTATTTATGACAGATTTCCAAGTCCTAGAAACTCTGTTGTTTTTCCACATGATGGTGGAAATATAAATATGAACATAACTCATCAAAGTTTAAATAATCGTAATAGATTCAATGAAGCAGCGCCACCATTTCAGAGTTACATTGTGCGTCCGCCAGTCATGAATGGTCAGATACTTATAAATCCAACTGCCGGAACTGTAAATGTTCATCATATTCCTATTACTCAAAATGGGAATGTTCAGGCAATGGTAGCAAATACCACACATCTTAAACCAAGGACTAATGCGTCTCAAGTATCACCACCTCCAGCAATTCCAGCTAGAGTGCCAAAAATTCAACCAGGAATTCCACAATCTCAATCAGAATCGGAAATAGCTGCTTTGACGAAAAAGCTGGAGCAAGATCTGCTCATTTCGATGAGTCCGTCATCGTCACCCTTGCCTCGGGAGCCCCCGCCACCATACCATGGGCCACATAAGACGGAACCAATGCCAGGTCTTCCACCAAGAAATACAACCCCTAATTCTTTAAATCGCAGTAATGCACAAGTTCATATTATGAGTGGAAGTGTTCCAAGGACTCAGTCTTCATCATCAGTACATCCTTCAGTTGTTAGTAAACTTCAATATCAAGTAACACCGCCGAAACAAAAGGGACCAACAGAAGCTGAGCTGAAATTAAATGCTCTCACTCAGCAACTTGAAGATGAAATGGAATCCTCCTCTGCTCAAGGGGAATATTTTGGTAAGTTATTAAGCATAAATGGACAGAATATAAATATTGCCTGCTGCACAGTAAATGGGCCAATTTTTCAAAAATACATGTAATGCAGGCTTTTTCAAAAAATATATTGCATTTTCTATTATTTTTTTGTGTTTTTACAAAGGACTTATTGTAAAGCAAATGTGCCCAAAATTTTTTTGGGATAGCATTACCCAAAATAAAGATACAGACATTTTTATGCCCTAAAAATGTCCATTTTTACATGTAATGTGTTAGCATCTGTTTTTTTGGTGTTTTTAGAATTAACACCACTATTATCTGTTTTAATTTATCACTTAAATTTTTTTTACATGCACATAGAAAATTTAATAACCTTTCCAGTGATATATAATACTTGGTATACATCATCCTGGTTTTTATCGTTAAGATGATTTTAGTAAAATCAGACTTTTGTAATGCATCAGTTTTTTCAAAATTCAGTTGTTAAGTAAACAAGTATACCTTTAAGCAGTTACAAATAAAATAGTACTTTATTGTCTAAATCTAATGAAATATGAATTAAAAACATATGTTAAGTGCTTTCAATTGAAATTTTCAAACATTTTTACCATAGTAGGCATTATAGTGGTAAAAAAAATTTTGTGATGAAAAAACTGTAACATCCGTCCCCCTCTCATAAAATATCCAATTTTAAAACAATACTCATACAAAACAATGTTTCTGGTGCTTAATGATAGCCTTACAATGAAAATGTTACAAAAATTGCCACTTTCTATGTTTATGAGAAAAAAAAATACAATAATATAAAAGTTGTCTGTAACATCCGTCCCCGTAACATCCGTCCCCCTATATAAGGTGCTTATTAAATCTCATATAAACTGTAACTGAAAAGGGAATTTTACACTAAAACACCAAAGTTACATTGAAAAATGAAGAAATAACAGAAATAAAGCACTGAAATGATGTATTTATGAAAAAAAAAATATTTGTGAACACTTAATTCCTTAATTTTGAAAAAAATCAGTATTTTTTGCTCTGAAATCAAAATTATTTACTTTGAAATAATATTTATATGTTATATTTTAACCTCAAGTGGACCAATGAGTTTATTAAGATAATATTTAAGCTTATATGAATTTATAACAAATATAATCTTTTGTCATTCTGTGTTTACAAACTAAGAGTACAGAAGGGGACGGATGTTACAGAATTGAACTAAAAATTCTTTTTACAGTAATACAAAACTTATCTTGTTCTTATGATGCATGATAGAGAAGTAGTAAGCTTTGCAACTGTATAGGAATGTTTCACACAACAAATAAAATACAATTTTAAAAAAAAATAGAAGAAACAAACACAAAATCCATAACAGGATATATAGAAAAAGGTGCAAACGATAGAGATGTTGAAAGTATCTTTGTGATTAAAATTGGTCAATTGTTTAAACATAAACTCTTTAAGCCTTAAATAGTTAACAAACCATGTATCCCAGCCCCTCATAAAACAGTGGGATATGGATTCTAACTATATACACACAGAAGGGACTGGCACTTTATTGGAAGTTAACGAGCTGTATATTGGGAGCTGTGTATATCGTATATTGGGAAGTGTGATATATTACAAAACAGTAGGGGTGCCAATTAAGGGTGATATATATTATGCTTAAAAACTGTGGGAGGGACTACCATATCTTATTCAAGAATGTCTGTCATTAAGTATTGAAGTTGAAGATCAATTAAGTCAAAGGATTTATTAAACTTCAAAAATTTATAGGCTAAATATGTAGTCAATGAAAAATAAACAAAGAAATATAATTCAACACCCTGATTAAATTTTTTAGATTTTTTTCCCCCAAAAAATCTCAAGCACATTTTTATACAATTTGACCCATTTAATTATTGTTAATAAAGTGAAAGAAACTTGTAAGTAAAGGATAAGGTAAGGATTCTTGTAATGAAAAAGTTGGAATAATTGTGAAAATTATTCTGTAAAAATTATTTTGCACCTATAAATTTTATTGAATGACAAATTAGTTTATTAAGTTAAGCAGTTCATGTACACTGAAATGTTTACACAGAGAATTATTAAAAGTTAGAAATAATGAGATTATGATACTGAATCATAATGAAATCTTTGGATAATGCTGCTAACATTCCACATTAATTTACTTAAAATTTCATCAAATCGATAGAACTTAATTGCAACAATTTAAAATCTTATAATTTTAATGAAAATTTTTAATTGAGTATAATTAATTATTTATGCATTTAGTAATGAGAAATTCAAGCTTGCATATGTTTCAATCTGAAAACTTCTTATTTACTTCACACTGTATCATATCTTTTACAAATATATATCTTATTATTTAACTTAAGTAATTTGTAAATAATTTCATGTATATAAAGGTACCGTTGGTATGACATTCTCTCTTTAACGTTAATGCATTATCTGGAAACAAAGATTCTTTTATTTAATTAGCAATGTTTTTATTATATTCCAAACATTTCAATTTCATTCAAATGGAAGATAAATGGAAGAAAACTAAGTCAATGCAACTTTTCATTGTGAAACACAAATAGTAAGAAAATACATAATTGTCAGGTATATTTCTATATTTTTCTCATAATTTGTTCAATTATTTTACATTTATTGTACCGTACAAAGCATATACTCTTATAAATTTCATTACTTTAAAATAAAACCAAAAAAAAGTATGAACTAAGAGCTTTAAACATCGATTGTAACGTCCGTCCCCCCAAAAATGTAACATCCGTCCCCCTGATATAATTCATTTTTGGATTATCTGACAAGAAATATACATAACAAAGTCCTATAATTTCTACTGTTTTATAAGAAATGTGTTTGCATATTTGATTTAAGTATGATTTGGTGTACCTATCCTTGTTTTTTTCTCTCTGTTTCTAACATGTTTGAAAATTTAATTTTGTGTGAAAAATACTGAAAATTTGAAAGCAAATATTTTTATATCCAAGATGAATTTTCTAGATTTTTTTTGTAACATTTATCAGAACACATAATATTTTAATAAAATAAAGAGAAATAATACAATTTTTATTATAAACTGTAAGATATTCAGACTTTTAGTATATATTTGTAACATCCGTCCCCTACCCGCACAGTCTGCAAGAGATTTAATATTTTGAAAAAGGTATTCAAAAAGTTATCCTTTCTTTCCAAAAATATTGTTATAGACACCCTAAGGTACTTAAAAAGAGCAAATATTGTCTTGTATGTTTAACTTTATTTTTTGACTTAGATGCTAACACAATTGGCCCATTTACTGTGCAGCAGGCAATATGACAGTTTCAAAAAAATGATATGTGATTGAATAATATGTTTTATTTTATAGTATATACTGTTATAGGTGGAATGTATTGAAAATTAGTTATAACTAAATGCACACGTTTTGTTAAGCCAGAGGCAGTTTTAATTGATCAGATCTGGTTCTCTTTTTTTTTGCACCAGGGAAGATATTTAAAATAATTTTAGATGAGTCAGCTTGATATATATTGATCAGAATAAATTATTTGACTTGGTCTCAACCAGTACAATATATATTATTTAAAGTTTATACTGTGTATGCACAAGTATATTTCTGATGGTAATAGATTAGTGCCACATGCTTTTTTTGCTAGTCTAGTTATATGATCTAGATGTGGGATTTATCTTTATAAAGAATCAGTCCTACAATTAGCCTCTTGGTATGAACACAAGTGGCATCTTTGTAAACTAGATCATACCTGGAAGTTTACAGGCAAGCTTGGCAAACATCTTTAGAGTATGTTCAGTTCATACATGTTTTGGTCCTTATCTATCTGTGAGTTTTCTTTTGGAGATTAGTAATTGCCTGTATCCTGGATAGTCTTTTATGAATGATAATAAGAGCAGTTTTAGGTATAGAGCAGACACACTAGCAATAAATGATACAATCTTTGGGTATTAATATGATTAAAGCAGCAAGCAGGGCCTATATTTAGAAGCTCCTATGCTATACATGTTGGTCGAGACTAGATCAGGATTGTATATTTCATTATTTGTGTTAAAACATGTTAAAGAATAAGTCTTTTAGTATGGTCAGTGAAGCAGTTGAATCAATTATTTCCATGTGTTTCTTTCATGTAGATTGTATATATATAGTTGTCTGACATTAAAAAGCTTGGACTCAGACAAGTGTGCATTCATTGTTTACAGGTGCTATGCAAAGTTGGAATTCCTTTGTGAAGCGTATCTCACATTTTTCTGCTTGAGAGGTTGTTGATTGTTTGTCACATTGTGTTTTAACATTCCAGTTATGTTCAAACGAAACTATTTGAACAGAAATCTATTCCGGCTACCATGATTGGGCGATCAAGCATTTTGACACATACATAAAAGCGATCTGAAAGATGAGACGGGAACAAAGTTCCCCTCGATTTGAATAAAAACATCATCAAAATGATCATTTTGTTCAAATTACTATGTTAAACTTACAAAAAATAGCCATTTGAGAGGTCTTTAATGAAAAGTTTATGATAAAATAAAATGAAAAGCTGCTATTTTCTTAAATGAATTTATTTCATCAGAAAAAAAGCATGTAATTTGATCAGGAAATTAATTGAATTACTGGGTTCTCTTAAGATTGGATATGAAATTTAATAAAAGGTTTTGGATTTTATTGAAATTTTAATACATAATAATGTTCACAATATAATAAAATGATTATAACCACAATGTTAGCGAAATTATTTACGACTTTCAAAGACTTGAAAAATTTAATCCTTAAAGGGTGAATTAGTACAAATTTTATAGTTAAACCGAAAATGAATAAGTAGGGCCATTGCAAAAGAATTTGTTATACAAAATAAAATTTAAGGTACAATTTTTGTGACGAGAACACAGAACTTTCCTTTGTAAACCTTCAGATAATAATTGAACATGTTTCTTTATTCATCGGAAATTTACAGTAGGTTAAGCCTCTTACCAGAATTGGCCGGAACTGGAAGTGACAGTGATATACTGAA